ACCTTACTTTAAATGACCAATATTTGAATTCATTTAGTTTTATTCCGAATGAAATATAAATGAAATGAAATAAATGGAATAATTCGCATGACTTTTGCAAAAGTTAACAATAATTTTATCACCAAAAAAGACAACAAATGCTTCTGAAAGATTAATGAAAATGCAATAAATTTCACTTCATTCTTTCCCATCCCGTTCCTTCATCAACCGATCTAATTTATCACAGAAGTTGATCATAGAAGTTCAGAAGTTTCTCGATTATAGAGAAACTTCAATAAAGATATCATTAAATATGTCAACGGAAATAAAATCGAATGTTGACAAAAGGTGTGAAGTTGATAGAGTAAGAATAATGCAGGAGGCTTACTAATAATTATTGATAATCCACTACTGATAATTCAATATGAAATGGAAACAATAAGTTACGAATCAAAAGATAATATTTAAAAAGGAAAAGAAAATTCCAACCAATCCAGTAAAATATATTAGAGCGTTGCCTAAAAATTCTCTGAGGATGATAATAATAAGAATTGATGCTGAAAATGATAAGATAAGCATTAATTCATGCAATTATCTTTTCAAAATACAATTATTTTGATAGAATATAAATAAATTTAATGAAAAATCAGATACTGAGAAGGAAAAATTGTGACCATAGTGTTTCCAACAAGAATTTATGAATTAAAACTGAAATTTTGCAATTCTTATCCCAAATTGAGGAATTATGAGTTGGCAATTAATTTTTAATTACATTTTAGGCATAATTATTTTAAAAAGATTAAATAATATTGATGTTATAAATGAATTTTTTTAATAGCGATTTTGCATTGCATGCAATAATTTGTAGCTGAACTCATCGTTATCAAATTGATTCATCCCTATCCTTTAGAAAACATTTAAAAAAGAAAAATTGAGAAGAAGAAGAGGAAAGGATTGGGAAAGAAAAATAGCCAATTTTAACAGCTGGTTGAAAAAAAGAAGCACTTTATGACAGCAATATTTAAAAGCACAAATCAATGAAGACTGA